TTTTAGTCTAAATGATTTATAAATGACAAATTAAGTTACATAAATGGTTATTATTTTCTAATTTCAGAACATCTAAAGCGTCACCTAAACACAGTACACTAAGTCAAAATATATTTTGTCATTCGCTTACTGCACTTTTCTTATTTGATTCAGATAAACAACAGCAAAACAAGTAAATAAAAGAAAGAAAGAAAAAAAAACATCGAGAAATGATAGTTTCTTACCTTTATTGGCTGTACCAGTATCAAAGACTGCACTATGGTAAAGAACATGGACAGCAACCAGCCAAGCGACTTCTCCTTCCCCCACTGAAGGCTGTACAGGAGTGTAAAGAAAGCCGAGGCCGCAATAGACAAAAACACAATAATGTACCCGATAATCACGAATCCCCAGGGCAAAGTCAGTGGCCCTTTTGGTTTCTTCTTTTTCTTCGATTCATCGAGATGATCCAGGGTATTCATAAAATCTTCGTTTGATGAAGGCTGGAGTGCGAATGCCATTAACAGGTCCGTGTCATCACTGCCTTCCGTCTTGTCGTAATAGATATCCTGATATTGAGGCGGCAAGGCCGGAGATGTGTATGGAATGTGGATGTCAGACACAGTGGCCACTGGCTGTAAATCTTTTTGTGACCCCAAACCACCTAAACTACCAATTCCCTCATCAGAACCCTTCCCTGATAATCCATCGACCTCGTTGACATTTTCAAAACTGTGCTTCTTCAAATCGCCCGAGAGATCACACTTGCTCCCCTCAAGTCCAATACGAGGACCAGAGGAGTTGATATTTGCCTCGGCTACGATGGTCCAGGCTGGGGTCTTAGAGCGTTTTCTTTCCCGAGACCGACGGAATATCTCGATCATTATCACAGCTGGTGGCAGGACAATCAAGGCGCCGACAAGTCCAACCCATATCTGTAAAATACCGCAAGGCATTTCTTTTATATTCCTTGTTTAATGTACATTGGATTTGGCAAAAATTATTGTCTAAAAATAATAATTAAAAAAACCCGTAAATTGCCTTTAGCTGATGTTGTACAAAGTTAAACCAAACTGAGTTCAGCCCCAGACGATATTACAGGTAACCTTGAGCTTTTTGCCGAGTGGTACTATTATATCAGGGCCAATTAAAAGATTAAAAAACGACGTCACTATAAACGGCCAAATGACATAGCACTCCCATTGTAGACTACGGATATAATAATTATCAACCTGATTGTTTGCTGACGTCATTTGGTGAGTTTCCAGACTACATGTACGTGTGGGTCGGTCCTCGTGTGAGCAATTCCATATTCGAACACTCACCTGTCTGAATGTGATGGTGATAGGCCCTATTTGCAGGCCACTTGAAGACGATCCTTCGTCGTCTCCCCTGTAGAACATGGCATTGGTTATCATACCCAAGAACAACAGGGCCACGCTCACCGACAGACGCTGCACACGAGTGAACCTTAAACAAAAATATTAGAAATTGTGCCACCGTTCAACCGCTTTCTAAGCTTTGCTGTGCTGCTTTACAGCAGAGAGTCAAAGTTCAAAATGATAACAGAGTAAGTTTCTTTCCATCAGTGAAATACACGACTTATCCATGCTCAATCAAAATGAAATGATTTGTCAGTGCCATTCAAGTTATCCTAACTTCTTTGGTTGACTACATACCTGCTAGTGGTAGGGCGGCTGAATATGGATACCCAGAGGTGATCGTCAAAGAAATTCTTGGAGGCGTTTTCGCTGAAAAGAGCGTTGAAGTCCTTAAACTCATCCTCTGTCTGACTCTTCAGTAATCTGTTTGTTCTTTTGTCTGACTTGGTCGCCGACAGCCAACGGCTTCCCATAAAGTAGAACCTGTATAGACAAAAGTTATATTATTTTCATGTTTATCCAACAACCAAGCTAATGAACATTTTTGCTCCAAAGTTATATTGCTTTTGAATGTATTTTCTTTGGAAAAGTCCATTTAAGAATTGCTATCAATTTTAATGCGCCTATTAAATACAGGCATCGAAACAGTAAAAAAAAATATGTAATTGAGTACAGTTCTGTTACTGTATAGAATTCCAAAAAATAAGTGCCTTTGATGGTCTTCATTAGTTTGAGAAAGACGTTTGGTTTATTCTGTTTACAAAGGTTTTCAAATGAAATCTAGTATATAGACGTTTAAGTTTGCCTTGTGATTTGTATAATTATGAACGATAATATAATATAATATAGTAAGAACGCATAGCATTTACCTTTTACGCTCCTGAATATCGTACATGATGACCTTATTCGGTAACCAATGGGGAGATGGGCCCGTGTCGTCTATCCAAACTTGCATATATTTCAGGCGGCCCAGATATTTAGGGACCGCCATGGTAAAGTTGTTGGTGGATCCGTTGCCAAAACACTAGCAGAAGAAAGAAAGAGTCACATTGTCAAAACGTTTTTATTCAATGCAGTAGCGCTTAATTCTACTTTCATGAAGTACCGCCAAAAACAATGAAATTTAATCGGTCAATTAAAATTAACAGTCTTAAATCAAACATTATCTAGCCTCCACGAACCTTTCTTTCCCCGTCCGCTAGATGGCGCGGTCTTGTCTTTCCGTTTTCTCCGTGTAAAATGAAAAATATGTTTGCGGAGCACCGTGAAACGGAACGCACAGCAGTCTGCACATTGATGCGGTAATAGTACGAGTCTTTGGGTCGATTATCTGTTAGGGGAGCATAGGCCCACTGTGAAACAACAGAGAGCACATCATTGAATAATATTATATGGGCATATATTTAAATTAATTTGATTACATCATCAAGAAAATAATCATCTTATACCTAAGATGCAAAAAAAAAAAAAAAAAAAAAATGAAATTGACAACAGATCAATACGACCTTTCCATCGAATGATAGTACAGTCTATAAATTATATATTCTAGTGCTTAAATTTCAAATATTTTGTGAAGGGTGGGTTCAAAAGTTTTAAAAAGGGTAAACAACTTTAAAACTGTGCATATTAACTATCCTAGTATTGAAAAAAAAAATAAATAACAGGTGTAATATTTTAATCTTCGCGTGGATGTATGTCTGTACGTACCAACTCTTTATCTTTTTTATCTTTCCATCGGCAGTAGAAAATGGTCAGGATATAAATGACAATCAGAGCAATCAGGAAACCAAAAACGTATGCGTTGTCAAGGAGACGTTCTCCGAAGTTGGCAAACACAGCCTCGAAGTCGATAGTGTTCGGTGGTTCGAACAATCCCGCAGCAAATGAACCAAAAAAGTTGCTCTTGAACACCACCTTCTCCGGGGTAGAATCAGATGATATCTATACAAAAATCGATTGGCATATACAGCATTGGTCAAAAAGGTTGTCCCACCCCCATTTCCATGTACTTTTATTTACAAATGATCACCCCACAGCTGTGAACTGTTAGAAATAGTGCTTTTTATCACGGATACCATGTCTAACATGATTAATGGTTAAAAAAATACAAAATAGTGGTGAAAATATACATATTTTATACCATTTAGTAAAATTTATAAGAGGTACCCCCTCAAATCGACTGTTTCACTGTTACTTCTACAGATGTAAAGAAATGTCTATAAAATTGAAAAGGTGCCATCAAATGTCACCAAATTCACACACAATTAGCATTAGGGTGTGCTCCTTAAAGATCACGTGCCTAACAGCGAGTGCGTCTACCGCGTACTGCAATTATCTCCTGTAGACGGCGCGACAACCCTTCAACATGGGTAACAATTCTGTTATGTGGGATATTGTCCCATTCATCCTAAAGAGCGTGGCGGAATTGGTCAAGATTATTTAGGAATTGGTTCTCCTCTGCAATGCACATTCCAATTTATGCCACAGGTGCTCAGTAGGATTAATATCAGGACTCAAAGACGGTTGTCCCATCCTCAGAGCCCTGTGTTTCTGCAACAAATCGTTTGCCAGACGAGAGCTGTGAGCAAGTGCGTCGTCACAATGAAGCCAGTAGTATCCGTGAAGTCACCTCTTGCAAATGGAGTGAGATTTCTGTTGAGAATGTTACATCAAAATGCCCCTGTTACGTTTTGTTCCAAAAGGAACAATG